GTTGAACCTGCCCTGACGGCCACCTCTATAAGACGGCCACCTGTACAAACGGCCACTTTTCATTTCCCCCCTTGCATTTTTTCTATATAATTTAACTGTGTAAAACGGCCACCTGTCCAACGCGGCTGCGGCCACCATATTTTAACACACAACTCCTATCACACTAAGCAATAACACCTGTCTTAGACGGCCACCTTAGTGACTCCATTACGTTTTGTCATAAATTGTGCATTCGGCCCTGGCGTTGAGAGCGAGCCGTCATAATTCAATCACCTGTCTTTGTTGTTAGGTAGTCCCTCCAACGGATCATGTTGCATAGGCCCCTCCCACTGTTGACCAATAGGTACCAATTTTCAGCTGCTGGTGAAGTAAGTGTGTGATCCCCCATACCCCCATAAGCCCCGCCCAGAACTCATACACAAATCGTAAGTGAGATGAGTGGTCACTGTTTACCCAGTCTGTAACAAAGTAACAATATGAACTTGTGACAGAAGCGTCGCTCGTTCTCCGAGTGGTGGCCACCCATGTGTTTGTTTTAACATGGCACTCGGTCTTCCTCGTCTGATACATTTAGTTTTATTGTCACTCTTGCGCAAAATCAGCAAAAAAATAAAACTTACAAACAAAATACAAACCAACAACAACAACACAACATTAACAACAACAACAACAACAAAATCAACAACAATGCGGCCACTTTCGATTGGGGCCTCAGAATGATGGGAATGGTTTGCTTTCTTTATCTTGATCAGTCCTGCCTGAGACGGCCACCTGTCTTATACGGCCACTTTTCTCCTTGACAATGGGTGGCCATCTTACACAGGTTTGACTGTATATATATATATATATATTTATGTTCCTTTCGTGTAGTATAGTTGTGAAAGTTCTTCTTATTGGGTTGAACTGGTTTTTCTTGTTTCTGTGAAATATTTTTTCTTGTGTGAATGATTATGTGATTGGTGTAAAGCGCTCAGAGTTTATACTAGTATCGGATAGAGCGCTATATAAATGCAATCTATTGTTATTATTGTTACTTGGGAAATTAGGTGTAATAATAAATAGTAATCCAACAATTTACTTAAACAAAAGGAACTTTAATATATACTAATTACAAATCCAAGTGGGTGGTTTCTATAGATTTTAAAAGGTTTACAGCTGGGGCAATTCTCTTTTAAAAGCAAGTCTATAATTTTTTGTTCTAATGGTGACATTATGTTTATTGAACGCATGTTTTGAGAACCTTCAGTGCAAAAAATGTGTCCACTATAATATTTTTTGTTACAAGTTTTGCAACTAAAAAATGTCATTGGTGAACTGTGATGTAGGCCATAAGCGTATGCAAAGTGTGTGTATGAGAAGAGGGAAATGCTGTGAACAATCCCATTTTCTGCGTGACGTAGATTTGTAGTAATTTATATAAATTCATGAAGAAAAGATTTTAAAAAATCCAGCCTCAATTGTTGTGGAATTTAAATATAATTAAGTTAAGACAAATTGATACAATCAGCCGTGCAAAGTATGGGTGACAGTGATTCACTGTTCAAAGAGATATTTGAGGATAAGTCGCGTCCCAAATTTTTCACCACACTATAGCTACTTACATGGGGAAAAATGGAGCGGTGGGGGGAGAGGGTCTGTAAAACAATTCATGTTTGATAGAAGGCTCTGTTGTTGTGCTTTTTAGTTCTAATTGTTTTAATGGTTCTTCTTGTTTTCTTATGTTACTGATGCTGCAAGTTCAGCACTATTTGTCAATATGTGAAAGAGGCTGAAACAGTCAATACAAAGCATATAAAAGAATTCCAGAAAAAAAAAAATGAATTGTTTGTTTTGAAATTACGGCTTTTCTGCACGCTCTTTTGTACATTCGTTTTATATTCTATTTTTCAGGACAAGGCTGTGTGGTGATGAGGACAAAGACAATACAGTCCAGGCATGGATTTGCAAAGAGAAAGAACTTTGAAGATAGAGCAGTTTATGACAAATACAGGAACAGATAAGAGTGAAGCTGTGGATATTCTTAGCAGTGAGTTTCACCTCTAAATTGATATTGTTTTAATGTGAAACCTTTTTTTTTTAATTGTGTAAAAAAATATCTAAAAGTTGCAATGAAGTTGTTGCTCTCAAGCCAGAGTTTAAATTATTTTGTACTTTCAAAAGGTATTTACTAGAATAACAAACACTCCTTTCTCACCATCTGCATGAGCCAGGTGTTTGTATATATGGAGGATTATGGGCAGAAACTCAGTTTATAGATTACTGATTTAAACGGTCTTGACAGGTTTTCCATGAATGAAAGTTAATACTTCATCATTCTGCTTTCTATTTGTTTTGCCCAGTGATAACTCTTTTCACCTTTTTTTCCTCCTAAAGAACTTCTCCAAAATACCCATTTATTTTAAACCATTGCTATCCAGTTCTCATTGTTTGTTTCCTGTTGGCAAAATGGTATAAGTAAATATTTTGAATGTAAAGGATCTGTCTTTTTGAATGGTGAAGTTGTGTCCTCTTTTTTTTCAGGAAACAAATGGAGCCTTCCAGATAGTTACAGGGAAATTGAAGAATTGTGTATTTCATCAGCTCGCAATAAGTCTCACAAGTTTGATGAAAATGATAAACAACAAAGCACAAGTTCGCCTCACCACAGAGCAATTGAAATGGGGCGTGGGGCTGCGGTGAACCTCGACAAGAAGGCAGCCCCAACTGGAATGGTGGTTGTGATGCCTCTGCAAGAGAAAACTAATTCCCTTCCTCAGGATATGCGCTCGGTCTCCAATGATTCACACCTGTCGGTTAGACTACCACCATCTGCAAACAAAAACGAACGCATCATACCTATCCAGATTCAAGGTGGCGGTAAAGGCAATGCTGTCCAACCAAATTCTGGACTTTACAAGCCTTCGTATGCTGGCTCTCCTGTTGATAATTCCCGCCCATCTCCCAGTCCCTCCCCATCGCCTACATACAGTGGTCACCCTGCTGGTTCACGGGGAGGCCCTTCATATCCTCATGCACGCTCTGTCATTGACGAAATAGTTTATCCGACACGCCCTTCCATGGTGCCCCCTCCGATGAGCAAGGAACAGGCCCTGGAGCTTCAAGAGAATGATGATGTCTTTGATGACAAAAGTATGAAGAAGCCTCCATCCACTAACTATTGTAAGTTATTGCTATTAGTTACATTATTAATTCAATGATTCATCCTGGTTTTTTTCAGTGCCACAGAGGGACATGCTCATGTGTGCTATTGTAGGTTAGTTAGCAGATCTGTCACTGATCCCGATTTAATCTGGATAGCCTGGTTTTTTGCCCCAAATCTTAAGCATCCTGATTTTCGCGGTTTCGATCATGTATGTCCCGATTTTTTTGTTCTGTCTGTTGTGCTGGATTTAAAAAAAAACTTACTCTGCCTTCATCTCTGTTGCTGAAAGCACCCGATAACTTCTTGTCCATAGGAACTCGGAGCACTATTTTCTTAAATATTGATGCTGGATTAAGTAGTTGACTCACCCCAAGTTGCGTTGGAACTTTGCTCGCCTGTGTTATTTCAGTTATAATGGAAGTAGTATCGATTTGGCATTCTAACTTGGGACATTCTCAAGATCTACCTTTGTTTTTGTTTCCACTCAGAATTCTCTGATGATGGCCTGACAGCTGTTTCAATTGTGTCATACAAATTAATGATTATTCATAGTTCTGCAGTTACTTTAAAAACAAGATTTGTCCGAGCTCTGGTTGGTCGGGCCAGTCACCAAGACCCATCAGTAAAACTGTTTCAATCGCGCGTTTGCACCGCATGACATGACTTCGGCGTTTGAGTTGTGCATATGTCAGGGACCGTCCGTTGACGGGGTCAACTGAAGTTTATGCATACTTGTTGAAGATGAAGTGTCTTTTGGGACTTTGGGGGGAAGGATGGGGTAGAGGGTGTGGTGTTAAACACTTGAACTAGGAGTGCTTGACATGATACTTCTGGATTAAAAAAAAAATAATGATAAAACACACACATGCGCACAAACGCACACGCACGCAAACACACGGGGCATATACATGTTTATGGACACCCCCAAAATTTTTTAGTCAGCTTGGCAGTTACTTTGGTGATTTGTTGTTGATCCTGATTTGTTTTCTCCTAATCCCGAATTTTCCCCCCCCTGAGATTCTGCTTTTTAGATTTCATAGAGTGGCAGGTCTGAGTTAGGCACCTTAAAGCTTTGTTCCCTCTTTTGAAACTAAAGGCTACCTCTGTTTCACGCCCCTTATGTAAGGGCTGCCAAGTCCTCCTTTTTTAAGGGGGACACCTCATCTCATGGACTTGTCCACACCTCCCCTCCATCAGCAACATAAGGTTAATGTAGTTCTGTAAAAACAAGCTTATTTAAACTATTGTTAGGTACATATAATATTTACCAAATTGTGTTTTATGTGTTGCAGATAAAAAATAATGATATTATTAGACTTAAGGACCCAAGAGATCACACATTTTCTTTTCACTTAGAATAAGGTTTTAGGTCACTCTCATCATTTTTGGGAACTTTATTTCCGAAGCCACAGATTCATCCCGTGGCCAATATAGTGTCCTCAACCTGGAAAGAGCTTGCTATACCCTTAATGTTTAAACAGTTTTTTTTTGAAGGACATAATTTGTCTCTGCTTTCAGTTCTAGTTCGTACATTTGTCTCATTTTTAGTTTTTAATTTAGTATTGTGATACGAAGTGTAGTTTAGTTACATATGAAGTTATTAAAATGTTTTTAGGATTTTTTATTTACTTTGTTATCGTTTTTTCTTTACAGACCCTCGTCTGAAGCGTGGCTTTTCCAACATTTTAGAGAACGAAGGTTTGGTGTCTGAAGCTCGCCACAATGTTCAAGTAGACATAAAGAAGGACAGCCATGACCACATGTACACTCAGTCATTTGTACTACCTGACCTCACAGCTTATACCGAAGACTTCAGGGCCTTTCTAGAGAAAGAACTTGTAGAGACCTCAACTCTAGTGTCTTTGGAGCAAGCAGGTAAAATGTTACGGCATTAGGTTTTTTGTTTTTCTGATTAGACTTGTATTTGGATTTGCTTTGTACACTGCTTTGTTAAGCTTTGACAAATTAATGGGTTGTGTTCTTGTTGATTTAAAAAAAATCAGTTGTTCTTGAAAACATTTTTGTTTTGTTATCTTTTCTGTGGCACCAATAGTGTCAGTACTACTTTAATTTCATTTATTTAATGTCTATGATCCATCTAGAATAATCATTTGAGTTGTGGGATTATTGCTGAATGGGTTTTTGCATCTTTCATTGAAAATGAAATATAAGGTGAGACATAGTCATTTTCCTTAATTTTTTTCAGTGTTTACTTTTTGTATGGTGTTTATGGCATATGCCATACTGGCCTGGCTGGTCCCTGAGCAGCAAACAGGAAATATATTGTGGCCATGCCTACTATACCGGTAGTCTAATTTTAAACCACATCGATGTGTGGTGAGAGTCTGATTGCACATTGATGACACACGTATAACTTAGTTTCAAAACCGCTGTTAGTACCTTTAGAGAGTAGTTAATATGTGAACTATCAGTTTGGTGCATTAAAAAAAATTATGATGATGTTCGTCCTTCGCTGGCGAAGATGACCTTAACTTCACATCACTGAAGGGTTGGGTGTGTGAGGAGATGGCTAATCAGGCAGATGTTTGCTCGGAAATGTCTGTTGCAGTGGGGGCAGGGGAAGTTTGGGGCTGAACTAGGCTGGAAGGTAACGCTCTCTCTGTCGTTTCTCAGCTGCCATCTCCATTGTTTCTTCCTGACGCGACTTTCTTCGAATTTGGCCACTCCTGATCTTATTAAGGAGCGCCAAACTGTGCGAAGGCGAGCAGCTTCTTCCCAGGTGGTATGGGGAATGTCACAACTCATCAGGGATGCTTTCAGAGCATCTTTGAAGCGTTTCTTCAATGATGAAGTCTTGACTTGCGCTTGAATTTGATTTAAGTGAGGGAGAGTTACGCAAAGTCGTCAGCCTCACTCTCTTGTCCCTGTCCATCTAGTTCCGGTGGCAGGGCGAAATCGAGACGGCCGAAGATAGGCCAGGATACAGCGGATGGCCAGCAGTGTCTTCTTGTCTCACAGTGCCCTTGTCGCGCTCCGCGACGCTCTGCTGGGACTGCCTTTCTGCCCATTGAACCACCGAGTGGTTTTATCCGCGCGTCCGGCGGAGCCAGTATTTGCATGCGTAAGGAGACAGACCCTAATTTACTCACTAGTGGGTTCGAAACCTGACCAGCTACCCTCTACCTGGTTCAGTCCGCCTGCCAAAGCGGTTACTGGGGTGTGGCCGCTGTGCATGCTGCAGCTTCGCGGAGCCACAGGTGAGAGTTGAGCGTCAGGTGGGAACCAATGTAGAGAGGGCTGTCCTGAAAAGGACATGGCAGGCCTTCCCCATACAGAGTAACTATCCCTCCCTGACCCCCCTACACCCCAAAATTATATATAGTAACTGTTGGAGGACGATTGGATCTTTGAATTAGTATGAGAACTCAGTTGATTTTTAAAACTTTCAGGGCGTCTCAATTGGTGGGCAGAGTTGCGACTGTGTCAGCGCTTGCTCCCCATGGCTACCAGTGGTGATGGAAACTGTCTCTTGCATGCTGCATCCCTTGGTAAGAACACTTATGTTTGTATATTGCTTGAACACTTATGTATACCAGTTCCACTCTGTATCTGTCGCAAGCCACTCTCAGAGGCTTGCAGTTGGAGCCACTGTGTCTACGATCTGCTGTCAGCAGTTCGCTCAGGTTTCTTTAAGATGGCAAATGTTATATTAATTTTCTGCAGTGGCAGAAAAAAGGTCTCTCTTACCAGAAGTTCTTTCATTAGATGAAGAACTATCAAAATAGGTTCATGTGCTTTGATTTACTGACCAATTTAGTGATGTGTATGTCATTCTCAGGCTTCATACCAAAAGAGGACTCCGGCATTGTGGGAAAATCCCCTTCAGAGATAAAGAAATAAGATGGAGATTTTTTTAGAAGGAGGTCATGGGGAGCAGAGAAAGCTAAATATGTCATGTTGATATATGTCCTAATTTTGATTTTTGGAAGGGGAATGTTACATTCAAATTAGAAAAAACATTCAATCCATTCAAATTCTTCAGAATTTATTTGTTGAAAATGTTTCTGTTCTAGATTCAAACAGTGGTTCACTAGATCTACCACTATTATTCTCCCTTCGCTCTATTATTGTGTGATGGAAGGTAGTTTTCAATTTATATCAATGCTTTGCTCTTGAGTAAGCTTTACTTTTTCGCTGTGTGAAGCCATAATGTTCAAATCAGTCACAAACTCAGGGTTAGAAAGAGTGAAATACATGTAGTAAATGGTAGATCTAATGGCGATATAATGTTAACGGAAACTTAGAATTAACGTCACTTTTCAACTTCCTCCTCAACTTGGGGGCTCAGAGTGATTCAAAAGACTCCTAATGAAATGTTTTAGTTGATGAAAATCAAGATATGATACTTGCCCACAATTTTTGCACAAGTTTTGATTGGATAAAATTGGGATATTAGTGTTTCCCCTCAAACTAAAGTAACCCATCGTTCAAAAGCACTAGTGTATGTGGTACGGGTGCAGAGAGTACTAGTTTTGCAGCACATCCCACATTGCATTGTGAAGAATGTGTAGTCTTCCTGTGCTGTGCAAGGGAGCAAAATACGTATAGTTTTATCGTTTTATCTTGGAAGAACATTGATAATATTTTAAAAAAATCATTTGCAGCAATGTGGGGCATTCATGACAGGCAGTTGATTCTAAGGAAGGAGCTCCATGAGACACTGACCAAAGCCCACTACAAAAATGCTTTGTACAGACGATGGCGATACCAGCAGACAATGAGCAATAAAGAGGTTTGTATGTTGCACTATATCTATGGTTGTTTAGTTCTGTAAATACTGTATAGTTCAGATCAGGATCATTAGTAAAAAAGTCTTTGTTTCAAATAATTTTTACTAGCAGGAACAGAATAAGAGATAAAGAAAAAGTTTTTATTTGAAATTTCATATAGGGTATTTGGGATTTATCCTTATCATGACCTGAGAAGTATTCCAAGATCGGGGAACTCAAACTGTCAGTCACGTTTCTTGCTCCCCTCCCGTCCCTGTACTAAATGAGCATTTTGGTGCCAACTTGCTAGTTTTTAACTCAATTCCAGTCAGAGCAAGATGTTTCATGTTCTTTGATTTACTAAAATGAGTGAAAAGTTGATTGTTTATAAACTTTCTTCTCCTGCAGTCGGGACTAGTTTTCAGCGAAGCTGAGTGGAGTGAAGAATGGGAAAACATCCTACGTCTGGCGTCCCCTCTTCCAAGGGGTGCCCCTGATCCCACCCGCTCCAATAACTGCTGTGACAGTGCAGTTACTCAAGGGTAAATGACTGATGATGAACAGAAACTTTGATGCTTTTGTTTTTTTTCCTCTGCTTTCGCCCTGTTAGATGGCCTGGGTAATTAACTGTGGGTTTCTTTACCCACATTGTGACTGAATTTTACTCATGTAGCTGTTTTTTCCTCTTAGATCTTATCCTTCACCTTCCTGGCTGCCATATACCATTTTTTTTAGATTACTCTTAATTATTTTGACCCACCAGAATTTCTTCAAAGTTTAGCTATAGATTGAGCAGGTGCAGGCTGGTCCTTTCCTCATTCACTTTCAACTCTAAAATAATTTATGGAATTTGCAGTGTATACATCTTCCCTCCTTAGTTAAATACCTTTATCAAACAAGACTGGATGTTCAATCCCTATTTTCCTGGTTTTTGGCGTTTAAAAACCGTGAGAAAAAAAATTCCAACATTATTTAGCACTTTGGCATCTGTTGGAACTAACAGGCTTTTTTCTAGTCTGCATTTGTACCCCATGGTATTCTCCGCCTGGATCTTGTTGCTATGGATTTGAATAGTCCTAACAACTGGTCTTTTCTGACTGATTGCATGCACAAATTTGAAATCCTTTACAGGATGTGTATTCTTCTCAAAATTTCATTTCTTTTGTTTTCTATAATGAACTCTAATGCTATGCAGTGCACAGAAAAGTTGTTCTCTCATGTATTGTCTTCTTCGTGAGCCTTGAAAACTTGTTATTTTCATCTGCCTTTTGAGAATGGATGATTAAGTTTTAAAATTTGATTATCTTTACACAGAAGTGAGGAGAGTGTGGTCTATGAGAGTTTGGAAGAGTTCCACGTGTTTGTACTGGCACATGTGCTGCAGCGACCAATCATCGTTGTGGCTGATGCCATCCTGCGCGACTCGAGTGGGGAAGCTCTGGCCCCTATTCCTTTCCCGGGTGTCTACCTGCCCATGGAAGTGGCCAAGTGCTTTCGCTCTCCTCTTCTTTTGACCTATGATGCGGCTCACTTCTCTGCCCTGTGCCCGATGGAGCAGGATCACAAAAGTCCTGTTAAACTTCCAGGTTTGTTATTGGTCCAACTCATGGTCTGATATTTTACTTTTCAAAGCTGAAAATGCCTCCAGATGGCTGTTTAGAAGCTTAAAATTTTTCCGGGGGGGGCAATGCTCAGATGCTGCGCCGTGTTGGTGCGCTGACTACGCCCCTTCAGAATTTCAGGAAATTTTTCAGAGAACCTCTTTCACGTCTGTATAATGTTTAAAGCATTTTAGAATTAATTTTTAATGGAATTCCTGGTAGTTTTACTTTTGTGGGACAGGCTTGTATGGGGGAGGGGGATGAAGGGAGGAGGTTGAGGGAGGGTTGATGTTATTATTTTGAAGGATACAAAAAAAAAGTAAGCCAGTGTTTACATTGAGATATTTAACTTTTATGGAGTTTTGATAATTATATTTTATTGTAAAACCTCTTCTTTTACTGTTGTCATGCTGAAGTGAGAACTAATTATGGGTGTAGTTCGTTTTTCTAAGCATGTGGCTATATATGCAAATAATCCTTGCATATGAATTTATAGGCAAACCAATTCATAAACAGATGTATTGCTGAAGCATGCTTTCATTTAGCATTGTTGTGTATTATATTCTGCTGCCACATGTTGCTTTTGGTCTCCGTTTGTGGGTGAATTTTTGGAACGGGTCGGAACGCTAGTGACTAACTTTCTCAGCCCTGGTCTGCTCTATTTCTTTACCAATGTGAATGAAACTTGGCAACCTATCTGAAAATAGGGCAAACTAATGATATGTGGATGTTGAAGTTCGTACACATAAATTAAAATTTACCTATGCTTTTGGTGTCAAGAACACTTTCATATCGGATTTACCGAAAACTATAAGGAGCTTGATTTTCAACGCTGAGAATGTAATAGGTCTATCTTTCCTCTATAGTGTCCTCGAATTTGAACGTTCTGTGTCAAGTAGTTGTTTAGACCCGATCATAAATGCGCAACTACCCCCCTATCCAAAGCAGCTTCGCACGGAGACCAGCCATTTTCCCTTCCCTCCAGCGGCAAATGCATGTGACCTACAAATCCCCACATGACTATTCCGAGCCCGTTCATTGGTCACTTGAAATAGGGCAATTGCGGGTGCGCGCATCTGGTTGTTTTTCTCTCTGTTCCCCTGTTACATCGCTATGGGGGTTTTCCGAGGCGCGCTTATCTTGCCTCAGGGTGTTCGCGTTTCAACGGGAAAAAAGAGTTTTTAATTGTACGGTTGGCATGGTCTAAAGTCATCAAAGAAAGCTTTGCGATTATTTAGTCACGCTTCCAACATGTTCTTTAAGACTCCCATGTTTTGATAAGATGCTATAAATAAAATTCTCTCATCCCGACACCTCTTTTTCGCAAAATCATAATTTGTAAACCAAAATTTTAATTATAACAATATAACTACGAAATGTTTAGTAAATCTGACTGCTGCAATGATTTCTCCACCCAAAAACACACCGGGTAGCCAAGTATCTTTCTAACACTACTATTAATTACTAAGATATCGTTTATTTTCTTACAGAATCTGCTATTGCGCTGTCAACTTTTAGGAGTATTTTCCTATATGTGGGTCATCCATATTTGGCCGACCATTGCAACCCAATAACTTTTTTATTTATGAACTGATTCTTTTAATTAAAAAATCATAAATCTTAGGATTGAAAACTTTATTAGGTACCAGATAAAAAAGGGCTAAAGTGAAAAATCAAATTTTCATTGGCATTGCTATATATATATATATATATATACCTGTGATCCGACCACAATGTGAAGATTCTAATACAAGTAGACTGAGGGTACCTCTTGTAGGTTCTGCTTTTTTATTCTCCTGTTATTTCTGTTTGTTCTCTTACCTGTATGGGTTAAGGTGCTCTTTCCCCCCCCCCCCCCCCCCTCCCTCTCCTCCCTTGTGTTTTCTCTATAACGACCATCTGCCCCCCCCCCAACCCCTCCTTGTGTTATCTCTATAACACACTGTCCAAGAGTACCACCTGTCTAAGATAATCATTGTGCTCCTTGGTCGTCCTGGACAGGTAGGAGATATTGACAGAAAAATTAGGGAGTCTACAAGGTCATGATTCATTATGATGGGGAAGATAAGGTCTTTGGTTGACGACTATAGAGTAAAGATAGGAGGATGAAGAGGAGGAGAAGGAGGGATCAAGAAAGTGGAGGGGATGAGGGGAAGGGAGAGGAGAGAAGAAGGATGATGGGGAAGGAGGAGGAAAGGAGGGGATGGATGAGGAAGGGGAAGCGGAAGAAGAGTAGGAAGGGGAGGAGGAATGGTGGAAGAGGAAGGGGTGGAGAAGGAAGGGGTAGAGGAGGAAGGGGAGGAGTAAGGAGGGCGGTGAGAATGAGGAGAAGGAGGATCAACCATTGGTGTCCTCAAACCAACCGTAAAAAAAACGAAGTGAGTATATTGTACATTGTGATATTCAAGGCAAAAACACAAAACGTGAGTAGCTTTTGCCTTGTCTCATGCACGTGACAGACAAACAAACAAACAAACAAACAAACAGACACACAGGTGAAGATTTCCAGCGACGGAGCCGCCATGATCATTTTTCGTGACAGTCAGTGTGTTAACACAGCTTGTAAAGTAACACGGTGTGTAATGTAACACAGTGTGTAGAGTGAGTGACACGGATGCGAACACGAGACCAAAAACCCTGACACACACAGGCGAGCTAACTAATTAACCCCTCTGGCTGTTAACAAAGATTGTTCAGATGCCGTAACACGGGCTATTAGATAGATAGATAGATAGATAGATAGATAGATAGATAGATAGATAGATAGATAGATAGATAGATAGATAGATAGATAGATAGATAGATAGATAG